CATATTATATGTACAATATTTGTAGATTCATTTCAAAATTAATAAAATTTGTTTAATATAATGTTATATATATTTCATTTTTTATTGGCATTAATAAATACTTTGCACAGTATAATAGACAAAACTGCAATCCCTATAGCCAAAGGAGAAATGACCATGTTCTCTGAAGAAGAATAATCTGAAGAGCGATATGAAATACCAATAAAGGTCTCCGATTCTGGACTTTCAACTGGGAAATCAATGTTTTCCGAAATTTCTTGCATTAATTGCTGTCCACTTTTATCTGCAGGTGTACTTCTTAAAGGAACTTGCATATGAAGAGCTGTATGTGCTTGAATTTGTAATAATTCTTCCTCTTTCTCTTCTAGTGGAAGTGCCTCTAATTGCTGTTGTAGCTCTGGTTGTGTCTCTTGTCGTTGTTGTAATTGTGCCTCTGCACCCATTCTATGTACTTCTTCTTGTACCTGTGTTTGTGACACCCCTTCATTATTTTGTTGTCCTTCTGCTAAACTAGCTGGATTTCCTCCTGAATTGCATGTCCATTTAAGTAAATTCATTTGTTTCTTGCCACTAAAATATTTATCAAAAGCACTACAAGTCACATCTTTTCTATTAGATACATCACAACTGTTTTTACATGCGTTATATTTTATGACACGTTCACTGATATATATATTAAAAGAATCACTACAAGACTCTTTTGGTGTATCAAAATATGTTTTAAGCATATCATAATCCTTCGAAAAATCAAATAAATGCTTAATATCCATAAAATTTTTTTCAGTCATATCATATTTATCATAATTGCATATAATCAGACCTCCATGGCTCTCTAGTAAATATTTAAATGTGTGCATAACAGCGTAAAAGGAATGTCTATTTGTTAAATTTCTGTCTAATATTTCACCCAACCAAAAGTACAGGTAATCACAATCATCACCTTTAAAGTTGCCTTCCTTATTTTTCTTATGTGCATAACATAAGGCACTAAGTATTTTGTTAGAAACATTTTTAAGCCATGGCTGTTTTTGTATGTGATTCTTTGCCAATGTGTAAAATGAATTATCATCACAACTAACATCTGCCTTATCAAAAATAGCGTATTGCTGTTTTGATGGTAATTCTGAAAGCTCTTTTTCCTATGAATTTAAAACAAAAGATAATATATATTTTTTTATTTATAAAAAATAAAATAATTAATTTAAAAATAAATATGTTATATTAGTATAAATAATAATTTATATTATATAAAATGCGTACACCTAGATAATTTCCCATTATTAACGAATGCCAAAAAGTGTTATACAAACAAAATAAAAAATCATGTATTTAACTATGTATTTATTAATATATTGAAAATTTTATCATATCTAATCTATATAACAATATATCCTATGAAATAAGGGTGTATATTTTTCTTTTAGGATATATTATATAAATATATATATTTTAAAGGTTCCATGATATTTACAATATGAGTATTAAATTAATTATTTGGAATTTTCAATAATATATATTATATCGAACAACAGAGTTATAACATATATTCTCTGTGAATAATATATATAATGCTATGTGCCATAGACATTACTTATTAAATTAAATATTATACGATTTTCTATTATATGAAAAATATGATTATTTTAATTTCATTTATATAATTTACATCAGTATAGATATATTTTTATACTTTATTAAAGCAGTTATCACAATTTTTATTAACGCTATAAATTTAATATACTTCTTAAATTTTTTTTTTGTTTTTTTTGGATTTATTAAGTTCACTTCCATTTCCATATAATATTTTACATGTAACATTTATATATTATTGACATTAATAATAATACTATAATTCGCTACATTAAATAAATTATAAATTATTCTGTTTTATGCATACCATCATATTATAATTATTGTAAATATATAAATTTTATTATATTTACCTTATTTTAATTGAATATTATATAAACAAATAAAACTATTTTTAAAATATATATATATTTTTCTAATCAGAAAAAATATATATCTATAATTAAAAATTTATCAAAAAATTTTTTTTAAGCATATACGGACCTATTTCTTCGTAATAATAATAATAACATTTAAGTAATACATACATAATTTTGAAAACTTACGTGTATTCAATAAAATATTTTTTTGAATGTCATTTATAATTATTCTATAATTAAAAATATATGTCCACAGTTAAATTAATACGAGCACTTCTAGGTGAAAAATTGTATACATTTGTTTATGTTTTTATTAAAGGGTATAATAGCTGCAACATAATGAAGTTATATATACACAAGACAAATATTAACGTAATTAGTTACAACAAAATTTAGCCCATACCACTAAAATATATTGTATTAAAAGCTATGTGTGCAATTTGTAATTTTTTTAAATTTCGGATATTTTGTAAAATAAATGGATTTACCATAAATCATATATTTTATTGTTAATGGTTACTTCTTTTAATCTAATAATGACGCATATATATATACATACATTAATTTATTTTAATACATTATCATATTACAATAATACATAGTTTTATATATGATGGCATGTTTTATTAGTTGTATTGCAATTGATGAAAAATATAATTTAGAAAAGAAAAGAATATATCTATATATGAACATATTCTACTATAACTTTTTTCAAATATAATCCTGGGAACTCTGGAAAAAGGTAAAATAGAAATTACATATTAGTATCTAATGTGTAAATTTTTTAGAAAATATAACAGTTACTAATCAATGTCAAAAAAATAATATACCAAAGTAAAGATTAATTCTCTTTAAATGTTCATATATTTCATATATTTTATGCTTTTATTTTAAAATCTTTAAAAAAAATTGTCATTGCGTTTTGTCTTTCTGAACGCAATGTTATATTTCTTGTATTTGTGTTATATTGTAAAAATTGTCTTTATAATGCATCATGCTCTATGAATACACTCGACGTTTGTTTATAAATATTTTCAAGGTCTAAATTGGTAACAAAAAATATTTTTAATTTATTTATCTCAACAATTTAAACTATTTATATAAAAATTATCCATATACCTATTTTGATACACGCAAAATGGTGCGAAATGATTGTAGAAATAAATACAAAATAATAAAAATTACAAAATTTCTTACTACGTTCTTATTAACTATGTAGAAAACAAAATTTGCGCTTAAATATATGTATCGCTTGTAATTAGATTCTAATATATTTAAATTGTGAAATATTTTATTTCTGTAAATCACCATGTATTAACTGCATGTAAATCTGGTTAAATACGTCTCATGACACATATTTTGAAAAAACATTATTAAAATATTATAGTTTAGATGAATATATATGAACATTATATTAAGTCATAGTTAAAAAAAAATCTATGTATTTATAGAGATTGTCTAAAATTATCTAAAAATTTTATTTAGGTAATATATTTAATGAATTAGAGAAGGATTAATCAATTAAATATAATCAATAATGCACACTGAAGTATTTATATTCATGATTTTATAACTATTTAGTAAATTATAATTTTTTTTTGTATTGTACGATAAAGTTTTATATACATTATGAGATATATATATGTGTTTGTTATATAATTCTTTTACGTATAAGGAATTATTGATTAAATTTAAACATTAAGAACATTTAAAGTTTGGAAACTGCTCAAATATAATTGTTTATTTTAATTATATGAGAAATAATGTTATGAAAATACATAAATTACAAAATAACAGTACTATTTTTATGATATACTCTAACTATACAATTATCATTATAACGGATAAAAGTTTTAATATGCGTTTTACTGAATCGTTAAATTACTCTTTATTATGGGATATACAGTAAAAAAAAATGTTACCTAAAAACAATATTCAAAACAAGAATTAAAAAAAGGATTAATTTTTAAAATCAAATCACAGAATATATTTAAAGAAAAAAATCTTAATGTATATGATATTTACGATGTAAAAGTTTTATATATTGAAAAAAAATATTTTTTATCGTATTTTTACGATATATATTTTAGATAAAGGGAGGCATATTAATCAAAACATATGTGTGAATAATCAATTTAGAAACCTAAAATTATATATTTTTTATTCCAATATTATATATTCATTAAGAGCTATTTTTATTCATATAAGATATATTATTCATAAAGATATAACATATTTACTTTTTGACACATTTTCCTTTTATGTGTTATCACTATTCATTCTTATATATATTTCTACAAAATTTTTAAGATGCCGTAATTTATTTAAAATTGAAAAATATACCCACTATAATGGTTATATTTGCGCATTATAAATCTATATAAATAATATTTTTTCAGTTAATGTTATTTATGTAACATCATACATATATTAGTATTTTTAGACATATATAGTTTCTGTTAATATATATAATTTTGAATGTGTACCAAAAAAAAAATTATAAAATAATATATGTATAATTGAAAATTCTGCATATTATTATAATGTTATTGGTATACTTTAATTTCTTTTATGAAAATTCATTCCATATCCTTTAATAATATAATGTTATAGAGAAAATTGCGTAATTTATCATACACAAGTATTCTTGTGATTATGAAACCCAAGAGCATAAAATATATGCAGTTGATTATTTAAAATTTTAATGCAATTATTTGACATACAATTTACATGGTAACTTAATGTGAAGCTAATATAAAATCGATAAAGGATATTTTATTATTTATCCAGGTGTTAATTAATCGTGATGCATTTCAATTTTTTTTTTTTTATTTGTGTTATATTATTTGGATATAATAAAATATAAAATTTTACTTTGTTTAAACTTAACATTTAGATGTATATTTCTTCAAATTATGAAAAAGTATAAACTTATATTTATATATATTATTTTCTAAGAAATAAATATATTAAAAATATATCTATCAGTAATATAAAATAATAATCATATTAATGCATATTTCACATATTAATATATTTTAAATATGCATTGCACTGATGAATTACCTTATACCGAACACTTATTTAGCAATTATTGCATCAAATGTGAATTCATATATGAAAATGCTTATTAAAGACATTTTTATTCTAATCATAGTACTTATAAATATGGGTCATATATTTCTGAATGTAAAAATAATATAGATATAGACTTTATAAATAAAGAAAATAATCAACTTATATATCCTAAAAAAAAAAAATTTAATAATTCAAAATTCACAATATACATTCATTTAAGATAATATATGCACAAAATTTAGAACATTATTTATATATTATATTATAACGATATATACGTATATATATCTTGTTTTGGCATTAACACATTTATATAGGGACTAAAGAAATAACATTTGATTTCTATTTATATCATTTATTTATATTATATTTTAACTCATAATAATATATAAACAAAAGATCTTATACTTTTAATGGAACAAAATATTTTGCTCATAAATAATTTAAGACATTATTCTGAGAAGTACATAGAAATGAAATAAAAAATTAAGTATAAATATATCTACACTTTTTAAGAAGATTACTAATCAGATTTATTAAATATTTTTCAGTTTTTATATATTCTTACCTATTAAATAATTTAATATACTATTATATTTTTACTACATAATATTAATATATATATTATAAAAAAATTATTTGATCATTTTTAAAAAGAATACATATATAATGTTAAAAATGAAGTACTATGCAAAATATTATTAAGGAAAATAAATTTATAAGTTTTATATTTTTTTATGATAATTTAAATTTGTAAAATAATAATGAATATATATCTATAATTTTTATATTATTACAGTAAATGACATTTCGGATAACTATATCTTCATATAAAGTAACGCTTCGTATATGAGTTTTCTCAGAGTGTCATGTTTATATATTTCATGATTTTTAACTATAATTATAAAGATACGTATACAAAAATACTCTATTTACTTGTGTAATATATTTATTATATAAAATAATAATGTATTTTGATTTTTTATTAAAAATGTACTCTAACTATTCATAGTATAATTAAATAATATAAAATAATAAAAATATACATAATATATTATGTATGCTTTTATATTGTATACTATAATATATATAACATGTATAGTAAATAAAAACATATATTAATTGAAGCTTTTACACTGAAATATAAGTCTTATACAAATTAGTCATACAATGAATATATAATATTTTTCAAAATTATATAATGAGAAAATCCTTAATTATAATATATTAAATGTAGACGATATTTTATAA